TTTTCATTTCCTGGCTACTGGTGCCAAGAGTGTTGACTGTGGAGACAAGCAAACTAAAGCTGTGAACAATCTCAGTCTCTTCACCATCCATCCTGATGCTGCCAATTGGTCAAGTGGTGAGAATCTTTGTCTTCTTGACGTTGAGCTTCAATCCATTCTGAAGGCTGCAGTCACAACAGAATTTGCAAAGAGATTAAAAAAACAAAACAACCTGGAAGAAGCAAAGAACATCACCATTAGAAATGATCCTAGTCTTCCAGAGCCAAGATGTGCAAAGATTCATGAATTAGAAGCATATCGAGGACAAAGAGTCAAGGTGTTTGGCTGGGTCAAGGGAAGACTTGATGTTCTTGTGCTGCGTGACGGGACAGGCTATCTCCAGTGCATCTTGTCGATGAGCTGTGCCAGTGCTACTATGGCATGGTCGTGTCCACCGAGAGCAGTGTTAATGGTGTATGAGATGCTGAATCTTACCTGAAAAGGCAGGCAGGCTTCAGGGACCCATGAGCTGAGCTGTGAATTGTAGGAGCTCATAGCTTTGGCCCCTGCGAGAGGAGCAGATAACCTGATCAACAAGGAGTCTGTTGACATCCATCTCAACAACAGGCACATGATGATTCAAGGAGAAAACATGTCCAAGATGCTGAAGGCCCAGTCACCAGGTGCTTCTGAGACCATTTCTTTGGCAGGGGCTACTGTGAGGTCATGTCTCCAGCATTAGTGTAAACACAAGTAGAAGGCCATGCCACGCTCGTCACACTCCACTGTTTTGGGGAGGCGGCATTCCTGACGCAGTCCTCTCAGCTCGACCTGGAGACCTGCATGCCAGCACTTGGGCAAGTGTTCTGTGTCACAGTCCTACAGGGCAGAGCAGTCCAGAACCCAGAGGCCCCTGGCAGAGGACATTCACATGGAAGCCAAGTGGCCATTCCTGACCTATGAAGACCTCCTGTGCTGATTGGAGGACTTAATGTGTGATGTGTGAGTGAAGTGTGGACTGGGTCCCAAAGTCCCCCCACAGCAAGCTTGACCTCAACCCACAATTCAAGCCCCCCGAAATGGCCTTGTAAGCAAATGAACTATTCAGGTGTCATTGTGTGGCATTAAAGAACACCATATAAAGAAAGAAGACGGGATGTTTAATGAATTTGGACAAGATAATCCCAGCAGCTCTGGAGCAGCTGATGACAGACACCATTAACGAGCTCATCTTGCAGTGTCAATGTCCTATAGAAACCTAGTCCTGCATACAGTGACGTCCTGAGGACACCGCCTTACAAACTGGAGGTGTTAATGCCCAATGTTGGTGAGATTGTAGGTGTCTTCATGCGTATGTGGGATAGCGAGGCCCTCCTAGCAGGCTGCAAGAGAGAAGGGCTTAACCTTACTCCCTACTACTGGTACATGTATCAGAGAAAATATGGCTGGCATATGTCATCATGGAGGGTACGGCTTAGGCTTGGAAGATTCTTAACTTGACTTCTGAGCAGGTATCACATCCAGCATGTGTGTTTGTACCCTCTATTTTTTCAGTACTGCAAGCTGTAACCAGCTCCTTCCAAAGCTTTGAGAAGAAGTGTGGTTCATGAAAGGAACAGACTACCTCTTTTTAAAACAAAGCCAACATCTTCCTTTTTTGTTTCCTTGGAGTACAACTGTTTGTTTCCTCTTTTTTTTTTCTTTTTGGTAAATAGCGTTGCTATTATGAGTAGCAGGCAACTCGATGGCATATAACAACAGCTACCATAAAAAGTTGTTTAAGTTACTTGACTATCAGGCAGCATTGACAGCATCATATTTTTTTCTTTTTCTGCTCCGCAGAGAATAATGGGTTTATACTGTGCAAAGTCACACATGTATAAAATGAAGCACACACTATCCCAAAGCAGATTAGGGACTGAGGGCTGTGGGGTTCTGTTACTGGCCTTTGGGGGAGCTCTGAGATGAGGGACAGCCAGCCCTCTCATTCCAGAGAGAGATGTGGCCACAGAGGTTGGGAGGAGTGGGGGTCCACCTGGCTTTGGTCACAGAATTCACAACAGAGCTTGGCACTGGGCCAGCGCCAACAACTGGAGGATCAGGAGCCCTAGAAAGCCCCCTAGCCTGGGGAGCCCAGGGACTGACCCACCAGTTTCGCTCACAGCGGAGTTGGCCCAGACCTAGACACAGGAGCTGGTGCAAAGGAAAGGCAGAAAAGCAGGAGAGGACACACTGATATGCAGTAGCTGGTGGCCTGGGCCTATTGGACCAGAGTGGGTGGGGAGGCAGGCTCGCGGACACAGAGCAGCTGGCTGCGAGTCTCATAGATGCCGCTGCAGCCAGTGTACTTCATGGCCGCTGTAGGTCAGCTACGGTTCAAACACCTTCAAGTAGTGAACCCTGAGGCCAGAGGATACCACCATTTTAAGAAAACAGAAACCCATTGCAAAATTTGGGTCAAGTATGTGGCATGTAACTGTCTGTAATTCTGGATATCTTTCAGCATTTTGGTATCCAGTTATAGAAGCTAAGTTGTGCATATACACTATTTTTAAATAATTTTTAATTGTGTTCTAAGACATACCAGTGTCTTTATTTTTTCTGTTTATTTTAAGTGTAACTGGAATTCTTTCATTTGTATCATTTTATTCTATCAGTGAGGTTTTTTTAAAAAAACCACCTTATGGGGGGGAAATTGACTATGGTCTAAAAATTTGCTGGCTTCAGAACAAAACCTATAATTTAGCAATTGATACCGGTATCAAATTAGTATATTTGTTTGCTCAATTACTAATATTTCTAAATCTGTCCTTTTTAATTTGTAGCATACAAAAATGAGTATAAGGCAGTTTGTAAAAATGGAAATGTCTTAATTGAACGTAAGGTCATAATTGTTGAAATCAATAATGAAGACCTTAGATGTACTTTCCTTTTTTTGAGTAGGGCTATGATTTCTGACATCTGTGCCAGTATTTGTTTAGTTTAAGCTAAAAAGGCAGACTGATCTTTCCTGGTAGTCCCTAAATTAATAAGAAGCACTCAGCCTGCACCTGGTCTACAGCCCCCCACTCCTCAGGCCACTGAGTGGGTCAGAACTCTTAAATTAGCTTTTCAGTCTTCTAAAGAGTGGAAATAAGGCTGATGGAAAATAAACAATACATCTCTTTTAAAAAAAATAAAAATAAGAAATGAGTTTCAAAAGAAATCATAGCAGGAATCCTAATAACAACTGTAAGCAAAAAAAAATGTGGATAGACAGTGAACATTGCAGTAGATGGAATGAGGGGAAGAACTGCCTGAAAATATTATATGATTTGGTATTATATGTATGACAGCAGTCTGGAACAAGGGGTGCATTGTGGTGTGGGCTGGGGGCAGGGGGCAGAAAATGTGCAACAAGAAAAAAATTTTTAAAAATCATGTGAGAATAGTGGATAATATAGCTATTCATAACTTGAATTTTTTTATATCTGATTCTTCTTTGATCTTAGGTTCGTCTGCCATTGTTGCCAGTTGACTTTCTTATGGGTGTTGTGGCAAAAGAACAGATTGTCAAACAAAATCTAAAATGCAGAGATTTATTGGATGAAGCGAGAAATTACCACCTTCACTTGAGTAGCAGAGCTGTACCTGACTTTGAATATTCTATTCGGACAACACCAAGAAAGCATACCGCTGGTAATTAAGTTACCACTCATTTTATCAGTTTTGCTGGAAGAATCTTTGTTGCATTTCAAAAGTGGGTTGAGTGTCCAGACATTCTTGTAAAAGAATCAGTATTGAAATGCTTTAAAATAATGATTGGAAAATAAAGGTTTATATATATTTCATTGAGGAGCCCTGGTAGCTGCTAACCAAAAGATTGGCAGTTCAAATCCTCCAACTGCTCCATGGGAGAAAGATAGGCGGTTTCCTGTAAAGATCACAGCTTCAGCAACCCAGTGGAGTGCCACACTGAGTCAAAGGCGAATACACAGCAGTAGCTTAATACGTAACAAATTCTTACTTAATGAATTCTGATTTAGATCATTTTCCTGGTAAACATTTTCCAAAAAATCACTAATCTGATACACTCTAAAGAACATACTAAAATATCTTTTCCTTTGAGGTCTTACAGAATAAAAGCAGAATGAACTCTTCTGCTGTAATACTTTGTTTGCATGACTCACGGTGTTATTGTAGTTTAACTTTTAACTTTTATAACATCGTTTAATTCTTCAAACAGATGGATATGTTGTTTAGGTTTGCATAAATACTGTTAATTTTGGATTAGTACTAAGTATAGATATTTGGGGTTTTTTTATTTGAAAATCACTGTACACATTTAACATTTCTATAGCATAGTGTATTAGATTCTTAGCGTCTAAAATGTCTATTTTTTAGGAGGTGTGAAATTTTAGCCTTTTTATTTGAAAATCACTGTACACATTTAACATTTCTATAGCATAGTGTATTAGATTCTTAGCGTCTAAAATGTCTATTTTTTAGGAGGTGTGAAATTTTAGCCTTTTTATTTGAAAATCACTGTACACATTTAACATTTCTATAGCATAGTGTATTAGATTCTTAGCGTCTAAAATGTCTATTTTTTAGGAGGTGTGAAATTTTAGCCTTTTTATTTGAAAATCACTGTACACATTTAACATTTCTATAGCATAGTGTATTAGATTCTTAGCGTCTAAAATGTCTATTTTTTAGGAGGTGTAAAATTTTAGCCTTACTTTCCACAATTTTCAAACTTTATATTTTTTTCAAGAAAATAGTTCCTGTTGACTTATTTTTTATAATAAATAATACACACTGAGGCTCAAATATAGTGCATATTATGGTAGACTAGGCCACCAGAGGTCTATAGTATTATGTATTATGTACTATAGACTTCTGGTGGACCTAGTGGTAAGAAGCTGCTCTGCAGTCCTGAAGGCATGTGGCTCAAATCCACCAACTGCTCCATGGGAGAAAGATGAGTAGTGTCCACCCGTGTGATTAATTGCTTCAGAAAACCCACTGGAGGGTCAGCTACGGGTTGGTTCCAATTTGATGGTACACCACCCCTCCCCTATTTTTTAGGAAGACTAGTTTGATAATGAAACAGAGATTCACGTCTTCTCTCAACTCTGCCTGTTTGATTTAAACCCAGAAGGAAAGTTATGAAGGAAGGAAATGAAGATAGACAGAAATATATTTTGGGGATAAGAGAAAGTGAGTGAGGTTCAGGAGTTCAGAAAGACATATTCTTCGTAGAGACATTGATATGTAAGCTGCATAGAAGACACTGGCAAAAAAAAACAAAACCAAAAAACCAAAAAAAAACACAAGGCTCCAGGGATTGACAGAATTCCAACCAAGATGTTTCTGCAAACAAATACTGTACTGCATGTGTTCAGTCTGATTTGCCAAGATGTTTGGAGGACAGCTATTTGGCTAACTAACTGGAAGAGGTCCTTCTATGCCCATTCCAAAGAAAGGTGATCTAACAGAATCCAGAAATTATCAAACAATATCACTAATTTTACATACAAGTAAAATTTATCTGAACATAATTCAGAAACACCTGGAGCAGTTTACTGACAAGAAAATGCCAGAAATACAGGCTGGATTCAGAAGAGACCACAGAATGAGAAATAATAAGATTGCTGATTTTAGATAGACCTCGACTGAAAGCAGACAGTATCAGAAAGATGTTTACTTGTATTAAATGGACTCTGAAGGCATTTGCCTATGAGCATCCTGACAAATTCTGGATAACGTGAAAAGTGAGAATCCCATACCACGCAGCTCTATTTGTGTTTGTCCATGGACCAAGAACCAATAGTCTTTACTTTCTGCAGACAAGCTTGTGTTCTCTGTGCAGTGTAGGTTTTTCATAAGTCTTCCTCCAATCCTGATGCTACTTTCTTTTTCCTCTAGTCAAGATTTTCTAATTTTTTTTGCTCAGCAAAGTATTGGAAATGAAGATGTTGAGTGCTACCAAGTCAACTGTGACTTATAGCAACCTTTGAACAATACATCTGAACCTTACCCCAACTTGTGCCATCCTCCTGACCTCTAGTGTCCTTGAGCCTCATTATTAAATTCCCTGTGTCAGTCCATCAGTTGAAGGTGTTGCTTTCTTTTTTTGACCATTCACCCTTCACAACATGTTATCATTTTCCAAGGACAGGTTTCTCCTGAAAACCTACTCAAAGTATGTGAGATGAAGTTTAACCATCCTGGCCTCTAAGGAGCATTCTGGTTGTGCTTCTCTTCAAGAAAGATTTGTTTATTCTTTTAGCAGTCCGTGATATATTCAGAATTTTTCATCAGTACCACATCTCAAAGGTATTAATTCCTCTTTAGCCTTCCTTATTCATTGTCCAACTTTCATATGCACAGGAACCAATTGAAAATGCCATGACTTGGATCAGGCTTACTTGAGTCTTTAATGAGGAAAAAGTTCCTCATTGCCATGGAATTGGAACCATCTCATAACTGACCCTCCAGCAGGTTTTCAGAGGCTATAAAATTGCATAAGAGGAGATTGCCTGTCTTTATATCAAAGGGAAGCTGATGGATCCAAACCATTGAACTTAAAAGTTGGCAGCACAACTCCTTACCCATTAGGCCACCAGAGCTATCTAAATAACTTATATAGCTGTTATTGTTGTTGTTGTGTGTCATCAAGTTGCTTGGAACTCATAGCGACCCTACGTACAACAGTCCTGAACCCTGCTCTGTCCTGTACCAACCTTATCGTCTCTGACATACCTACCCTCATTACCCCAGTCACTGAGTCACTACATCTCATCAAGGTTCTTCCTCTCTTACACTGTTCTTCCACACTCCCAGGCATGATGTCCCTCTCCAAGGATTTGTCCTCTCCTTCTTGCAGCATGCCTAGAGTATGTCAGATGAAGCTTCAGAATCCTTGCCTCCCAAGTAGCAGCCTGGTTTCACCCTCTCCAGGATGAACTTGTTTCTTCTCCTAGCAGTCCATTCACAGTACTCCTCTCCAGCACTACATCCTTAGTCATTGTCCAGTTTTCTTCTGTTGTATAGCAAATAATTGTGAAGACCAGGGCCTGGATCAGGACACTTTAGTCTCTAGAATGACATTGTTGCTCTTCAGTACTATGGGGAGGTCCCTAACAGAATATTTTCCCAGTGCATTAGCCTTTTGATTTCCTGGCTTCTCATACCCATAATGTTGACTGTGGAGCCAAGCAAGCTGAAGCTGTTAACAATCTCAATCTCTTCACCATCTATTATGATGCTGCCAATTGGCCCAGTGGTGAGAATCTTTGTGTTCTTGATGTTGAAGGCAGTAGTCTTTGATCTTCTGCAGCAAGCACTTTAGGTCCTCACTTTCAGCAAGCAGGATTGTGTCATCTGCATAACGCAGATTGTTGATGAGCCTACCTCCAATCCTGATGTCACATTCCTCCTCATAGAGCCCAGCCTCCCACATGATCTTTTGTGCATATAGATTAAAAAGGTATGGAAATGAGATGCATCCTTGGTGCACACCTTTCTCAATTTTGAACCATGCCGTGTTTCCTTGTTCTGTCCTGATGACAGCCTCCTGGCCCATGGATAAACATGCATAAACACAATCCAGTGTTCTGGTATTCCCATTCTTCTCAGTTAGCTACAGTTTGTTGTGATCCACACAGTCAAATGCCTTTACATAGTCAGTAAAACACAGATAGACATTCCTCTGGTGCTGCTTTCAGCCAAGAGCCATCTAACATTAACTATAATATCCCTAGAACCATGGCCCCTTCTAAATCCAGCCTGTACATCTGGCAATTCTGTGTTGATAATTTTCAGGAGAATCTTGCTCTGTAGTATGAAAATTATTTTTCTTATATTTTATAGGTTGAAACGAATTGAACATTTAGAATTATATATGTTTTTTCATTGTGAGTTCTATTTTACAAAGCCTAGGTATTTGATGAAGTATGAAATGTATTTCATATATGAAAAATGTATTCACATTTTTTTGATCTTTACAAGGAGTTTATTGTATGGTCTTTAGTTGAAGTGTTAAACTATCACAATGAGTTGTTGTTATGTGCCGTCAAGTTGCCTGCAACTCATAAAAACCCTATGCACAACAGCCCTAAACCCTGCTCTATCCTGTGCCAATCTTACTGTCTCTGATACACCTACTCCCATTAACCCGTCACCAATGCAATCCATCTCATCCAAGGTCTTCCTCACATCATCACTCCACCCTCCCAAGCATGACATCCCTCTCCAAGGACTGATCCTGCCCTGTAGCATGTCCAAAGTGTGTCAGACAAAGCTTCAAAATCTTTGCCTCCAAGGGAGTAGCCTGGCTTCACCCTCTCCAGGACGAACTTGTTTGTTCTCCTAGCAGTCATGGTATATTCAGTACTATTCTCCAGTATCACAGCTCAAGGATATCAATTCTCCTTCTATCATCCCTAGTTTCTGATGCATCGCAAGTGATTGTAAAAACCATGGCCTGTATCTGGCACACTTTAGTCTCCAGATTCACATCATTGCTCTTCAGTTCTTTGTGGAGATCTTTGACAGCAGACTTTCCCAGTGTAATTTGTCTTTTAATTTCCTGGCTGCTGATACTAAGAGTGTTGATTGTAGAACCAAGCACTCTGACGCTGTTAACAATCTCAGTCTCTTCACCATCTATCAGGATTCTGCTAATTGGCCCAGTGGTGAGAATCTGTTTTCTTGATGTTGAGCTTCAATCCATATTGAAGGCTGCAGTCCTTGACTTTCTGCAGCAAGCACTTCAGGTCCTCCTCTCTTTCAGCAAGCAGGGTTGTGTCATCTGTATAATGCAGATTGTTGATGAGTCTACCTCCAATCCTGATGTCAATTTCTCCTCATAGAGCCCAGGCTCCTGGATAATTTGTTCCGCATATAGATTGAAAAGGTATGGAGATAGGACACATCTTTGGTGTACCCCCTTCCCAGTTTTGATCCATGCAGAGTTTCCTTGCTCTGTTCTGAAAACTGCCTCCTGGTCCAAGTATAGGTTTCACATAAGCCAATCAAGTGTTCTGGGACTCCTTTTCTTCTCAGAGTTAGCCACAGTTTGTTGTGATCTACACAATGAAGAGAAGATAGTGTTATTCCATTTTATGGATAAATCAATTTAAGAATCAGACAGCTTCTTAAAATGTACCCAAAACTGTACAGATGCTAAATTGCAGAGAAAGGATATGCATCCTAATTTTTTAGTTTGTTTTTTTGTGATTTTAATGAAAGTTTACAAAAAACTTGATGAAAGCTTTCATTCAATCATTGATGCACATTTTTCTCCCTCCTTCCTCCCCCTCCCAATTCACTTTGTAATTTATTGTTACAGATTGTTAAATATCATATGTCTGATACAGGCCATGGTCTTTGCAATCACTTGTTATGTATCAGACAGTTGGACAATGACTAAGGAGGATAGAAGGAGAATTGATGCCTTTGAGCTGTGGTGCTGGAGAAGTGTATTGAGGGTACCATGGACTGCTAAGAAAACAAACAGATTCATCCTGGAAAGGGTTAAACTGGGCTGCTCCTTGGAGGCAAGGATTCTGAGGCTTCGTCTGACATATTTTGGTCATGTTGTAAGGAGAGACCAGTCCTTGGAGAAGGACATCATGCTTGGGAGAGTGGAGGGCAGGCACAGGAGGGGAAGGCCCTCTAGGAGGTGGATTGATTCGGTGACTGGGGTAATCGGGATGAGTGTGTCGGAGATAGTGAGATTGGCACAGGATAGAACAGCGTTTAGGGCTGCTGTACATAGGGTTGCTATGAGTCGCAAGCAACTCGACAGCACATAAGAACAGCAACAACACATGATACCTAATCCTACATCCCTTTCAGACAGTCCTTGCCTTCATCTGTTCCAGTATAGTATTCATTATCCACTCTTTTCCTAATCCCCTCCACCCCCACATCCCAATTTTTAAACTCCAATTTTAGGTCAGAACAGAGCAGGGCAACACTGCATGGTTCAACATTGGGAAGGGTATACGCCAG